ATAACAATCTTTATTCCAAACTGGTGACTGCTCATTAATCAGAAATGCATTGTTCCGTTTGTGTTTATTAACACAGTGATTAACACAGTGTAATTCAGTAAATTAACACAGTAACTAAAATACTGAAATATTAATAAATATAAATTGTCAGTTGAGCTTCTATGTACACGTATTCTTGAAGCTAAACAGTAGTCTTCACTCGGAAGAAAACGCAGTCCTGGTCTGAAAAGACCGAAAAGACAGACATCATATACATCTTGGATGTAAGGTGTGGATGTTTGTAGGGAATTTCACATTGGAACTCAATTAGATTCTTACAGCTAACCCGTGTTTGTTAGTCATCCTACGTTAAGTCCATCAACCCTCACCGCTTTCATAGCATCATCTCAGCCAGTAGCGGCAAGGGTCTGGAGAAAACTTTGCAAATGCTAATGAAGTGTTCCTTTCGCTCCTTTTACTTTCTGGACGCATACTTCATTTCGGGGTCATTACAGGATTAGCAACACATTTACTTACAGTCTTCTTTGCTCTTTCAAGAAAATATCTTTCTTCTCTTTTTTCCCTCCTTGAAGAACGGAGCACTCTGTTCCTTTTGTCAAGGCCAGTTCTTTTTTTTTTTTTTTTTTTTTCGTATTTTTTTAAATGGCTCTTATTTTTTTCCCTTCTTTCTAATAGTATTTTAGGTGAAGTTTTTTCTCCCTCCCTCTACCGTGGTGACGGTATTTCAGGACCGCAATCTACAGAGGCCGAAAGGTTAAATGCTTCTTCAATCCTTAGTACCACGCTTTGCAGTGTATGCAAGAGAAAGAAACAGAAATGTTTCCCTAAAATGTGGTAAGATGCTTCGTGAAGGTATTTTCTAACAATTTCTTGCGATTGAAAATCTCTTGAGTGCTTCTATTGAAGCTAAAATAAGTTTTCCTATTTTTCGTAGCCAGTCTTGCTACAGGTCTGTGGACCACAGATAACACACGGATATACCTTTTCCAGAAGATTTGGTCATCTTGAATTACACTGATTGGTTGAACACTGAAAATTTAGCAAATAGGAAATATTCACGTATTCTTCAAAGGCATTCCTTTTCTGTCCAGGCTTAGCTTTATTTTTAGTTTTTAACTTATTGTGTTCTATTTTCGCTTTCTTCCCAAACTGTCAGGCTTTGGAACACTTGCATATATCATCTGTATGCAGAGTAAATCCGTAGTGAAAAATTTTAAATTATGAGATTAATTTAATTGCTATTTCAGAGGAAAATTTCTTTAGCGAAAGTTGGGGAGGAATGTCTGCTTTGAGAGGAATACCTTCTTGGAATTTTTTAAAAAAATAACCTTGTTTACAATACCGGAAGAATGGGCAAGCGACAAAATCAGCCGTGGAACACTATTTTCGACACTAGAAACACAATTTTAAGTATTTAAAAGAAATAGAATTGTAGTTCAGAAGTGTTTCCCTTAGCAGTTGCTGAATGAGTCATTACGAAATAACACAATTTAGACACCCGGTAGATAGACTGCATGCATTTAAAATGTGTAAATTATGTCTTTGAAACTATAAAATACATTTTTTGTGATAAGTTAACTTGTCTTAAAGTAGTTCGAGAATTAACCGGATGTCTCACTGTAATTTTCCTGCATTTTTACAAATGTATAACTTGATAATTGTCAATTCAAATTATATTTACGAGAAACCTTTAATTTACTCGTATTCTGAGTTCCAGAAGTCTTCCATAAGAATACCCTTATAAAAAACTAGTTTTTGTTTGAGTGTATGTTATTGCTAAAGTGTTTAAATCTGGTACTGTGCAGGTTATTTAGGTAATCTACAGAATAACTCTAGATACCTCCATTAAAGTGTGAAAAATTGTTTAATTTCTTACATTACCTAGTTAATTTACCTAGATACTTTTTGCATTATTTATTAGGTTTTCATTATAGAGAAAATAAGATATTTGCTCAAGCAGCAGCAACGTTTTTGTGCTCTTAAATTATTATTCAGCAAACAGTTCAGTAATACTAAGTGCAACTAATTAAAAAACACGCTATACTTTCATTCCGTAAAATTAATAAATAATTTCATATAATAATAAGTAAACTATAAATAAAATATACTGATAATTGTTGAAACATAATGTTATTTATTTATTTTTCGGTATCTAAAGAATCAAGTTGATAGAGTCAATTAACCAGCAGAAGGAGGGAGAAGGAAGGGCAGGAGTTTCATAGAATCAACTAATGGTTTGAAAATATTATTACAGATAAGAAAATGACTTAAATACGATTAACGCGAAAAATACGATACAATTATGCTTATTTATTTGTGCGATGGTAATGACTGGTGAAACTTGACATCTGACTTCTGAGAAATGCTATGAGAAAGTTATGTCAAAAGTAAAACACAGCTAAACAAGCATTATAAAGCGGAAGGAAAAAGAGCAAGAATGAAAGATAGGAACAAACTTTCGCCCTTAACGATTTGGAATATGTTAACGGTACATTACCTAGGTAAAATGCAGAAAATTATTATTTGATAGATGATTTCATACTTTAACGGAACAAATCAGGTAATGTACAGATGTAACGGGAAATTATACACTGTTATTGCACATATGTGGCAGTATTTTTGTTCCTAGAGAGAAATGCCTCTAATAGTTACAGTAAGAATTGAGGACAAAATGCTATAAGGTATTTCTCCCGCCTTCTTAGCGTGCCTTCGTCGTGTAGTGGTCTGCACGCTGAGCGCGTATTCCAGAGGTCCGTGGTTCGATTCCCGAAGGCGTTGTTCCTTTTCCACATCACCTGCTTTCGAAAAATTCCTGATATCTCTACAATGCAAGTTCCAAAAAGAAACTGTATAGTTTTATTTAAGATATAAGCAAACCACTTGTTGAGCATGTCATAAAATAATTGTGCTTAAAAAGGATTTTGACTCACTAGCAACAAATTTTTTTGAAAAAAATCCATACTTCATATTTGTATTGCATTTAATTGTCCATAAATTCGTTTGTATAAGGATATTATTTATGTCTACATATTTTTGCATTATTTCGTATCAGATCAGGTCTTACCTTTCGAAATAGTCAGCAGATTATCATAAATAAAAGCTAACTTGATCCAAAAGATAAATTTGATCCAAATACCAGAGTGGCCTTTTTTTTTTTTTTCATTTTCTTTTACTCTGTCCGATTGAAGCTTTCCTAACAAATGGCACACGAGAAAATGGGTAGAGAAAATTCTATGTGTGTTTTTTGGGTTTGCTATGGATTAGAGGGTGACTAATGAATGTTCTGCGTGATTTTCAGCCCCTGCCCCACCCCCACGGAAGCAGAGGAGGGAACGGACGACCTTCACGAGAGCCCAGCTTGATGTGTTGGAATCCCTCTTCAGCAAAACACGCTACCCTGACATATTCATGCGCGAAGAAGTAGCGCTGAAGATCAACCTACCAGAATCAAGAGTTCAGGTCAGTACGACATTCTGATGGATATTTTGGAACTTAACAATAACCTTTGTTTGTTATTTTTTTAATTTACTGCTTTAGTTAGTTGTTGTACAGATAATCATGCATGTATAATGTAAATGCTAAACCTTACTAATTTATTGGAAAATCTCATGAGACGCACTAGACATGCTCCAAAATTCTCCTAACGTAGGTAATGAAAATATTTTTCTCCTCCAGCATTTAAAAAGCATTAGAAACGGGGATTCTCGTTTCATCATAATTAAACAGCAATAAAAATCGAATTTAATCCATTTATTTCGATTTTATTTCTATTAATATTCTTAACTATGCATTATATTAGACAGCATAATGAATTTAAACCGTAATTCTGGAGCTAATGATATGTTTCATTTTACCATCCTTATCATTAGATATTTAAAATTATTTTCCATAGCATGTTTACTTTTAAAAGAAAAGGAGATTTTTCTCACGAAAGACATATACAAATTCTAATGGTGCTGTCCTGTGCAATGATGAAATCTTGCTTGTGTGCCTAAGGTAAGTGGAAAAATGGCTCGATTAATATCGTTATTGCACCTGTGAATTTTGCTACGTATATTCGCAACATATGGAGCATTATTTTCTAATAAATTTGTTACATTTGTTACCTGTTTATGTTATGCCTTTTGAAAATGCTCCTTGCGCCATTTAATAAACAATACCAACAAAAACTAATGAAATATATGTTTTATCATTTCTTTCTTACATTTGTTACCTGTTTATGTTATGTGAAATGATCCCGCCAACAATACCAACAAAAACTAATGAAATATATGTTTATCTTATCTTATATTCTCATTGTGTTTATTTTATATAATATTATATTTCATTACGTGCTGTACTGATTAACCATTAAGGTAAAGGGACAGTGCCCAAGTCCTCCGTCACTTATCACTTATCACTTATATTTCATTAACTACCAGGTTAACTATAAGAACATTAATTGTCACGTTACATTTAATTATTTTAGTATGCATGCACGGGACAAAGCTTGGTAAAATAGCAATTACAGTGAATGCATTTTAGATTCGTTTTTGCAAGAAGAAACTTTAGTATGCTAAAAAAATAAATAAATCGCTTTACCTCAGCAAATAGATAGTTAAATGAACTTAAATTTGTGAAAATATTTGAAAAACTCAAAACTGAACTCAACACTTAAAATTCACACTGAAAACTTAAAATCTGAAAGTCATTATATATGAAATATTCAATTGCATTTCATAAAATTAATTTGAAATTGATAAACAATAGGACCCACCAGCGGTCGAGCGGTAAAGTCGCTGAACACTGGTAGTTCGGTTTGAGGTTCGAATCCCGCAAACGGGCTGGCTGCATGGGTGTTTTCGTGGTTTTCCCCATGTGTAACGTGTATACGAGCCAGTTTCCTTTAGAAAGTCCTCCACGAAGGCATCCCTCCACTTAGGCAGATAGCCCTAGTGTGCTTTGCCATAATTAAATAAACCAAACCAATAAATGATAAACAGCAGCCTTTTCAAATAAACAACTTTTAAAGATTGGCCAAATATTTAAAAGCCCAAATATTTTAAACAAATTTTTCTTAATTTTTAAATTTGCCACTAAAGATGAATAACATAGCATTCACAGGGGCAATGCTGATTTTTTCATCAGACTAAAAAATAAAGGTTTGTATTTTCATATGTATTTTCATGCTAACGCATTATAAGATCGTCAGTTGAGCCTTAAGCGCTTATAAACTGTGATTTATAGTACAAACTTTTCTTAACACTTAAATGAGATAAATATTATTATCTTGAAACTTGATTAATAAGCCTTTAAATATTCCCATAGGAAAGCACGCTAATAATTGGGTTACTTAGAATAACAGTGTCCTGTGTTCAGTTTAGAAATAAAAATTATTGTTTTAATTGTAGAGTGATCCAAGTCTTAAGGTGCTTATGAGATAGCAAATATGAGGGACTTGGGTCACTGTTATTCTAACGCACTCAGTTATTGATACTCTGGTCGTTCTGCTTGTAGGTGTGGTTCAAGAACAGACGAGCCAAGTGCCGGCAGCAACAGCAGCAGCAGAACGGGGGCAGCAGCAAGAGCCGGCCGAAAAAGGCGAAAAGTCCTCCGTCTTCGTCGACGCCGCCCTCCTCCCGCGGTGAGTCCCCTTACAAGCCTCCGTCGCTGCCACCGCCGCACTCATCGTCAACCTCGTCTTCGGCCGGTGGGCCACCGGTCACTTCGAATGCCAACTCGAGTAGCATCTGGAGCCCGGCCACTATCAGCCCCGTGGCAGCAGAATTAATGGGGGCCAACAGCTGTATGCAGCGTTCGTACCAGATGGCTGCTAACACTCCCCCCAATTGCTATTCACAGTCGTACGGTCCCACCTCTTATCATTACGGCAACATGAACATGGACTACTTGCCGCCGCCGATGCCAGTCACCACCATGACCTCGCCCCAGATGAGCGCCCCTGCAATGACGGGTACTCACATGGGGGGCCTCGCCTCGTCGGCGGCTCACCAGTCCCTTAGTTCCCGGACGCCCCCTATTAATGGCAGCTTGCCACCACCCGGCAGCACCGATTGCCTCGAGTACAGCAGCGATAAATCTGCAGCTTGGAAATTTCAGATGCTTTGAACAGGCCGCCGCCAGCTATTGGACTGCCATATAGGCCCCGACCTCAGAGGCAAAACTGTCAAAATTACTTTTTTGCTCCTCGAGGACCGAAGTCCTGACCAGAGATACCGACGGGCAAGATCCCAGTTGTTACGAAAACGGACTGGCACTTTCCCAATCTCCTCAGCGACAATATTCATGCAAAGTATCTAGCCCTGTATCAAGACCAGCTGTTGATTTTGGCAAGAGAGAATTTTGTACATAAAGTTAAAAGGAACTTTCGCGCTTTAATTTATAATCCTTTTCCTAAATCAACGCTGCGAAGATTCCCACTCCGGAAAATGCCAGAACATCTGTTCCTGATGCACTTGCCAACATCTGACATTTAAGGAAAAGACTAACAGATTCAGATTTTGATTGTCAAATTTTTCTCTGATGATTTCTCTGAAGTGTTTCTCTGATCATTTAAAGAAAAAAAAAATCATATTCTTAGACACTTATTAACTAAAGCATAATTATAAAATCAAAAACTAAAGTTATATGTCCTGTTTCCGTTTTGGAAATAATCGCATTTTCTCAAGTTTTAATTTAAATACTAAATGTCTTTCTAATTAACCAATGCATAAATCAATGTATCTTCTTCAAAACTGCAGACTACTTATTATTTAATTTGCACTGTGAAATAAATTTATATTGGTACATAGTTTTCATCATTTTCACTCAGAGAATATAAAATCTTGTTGGAAATACTAGCATTAACCTTTTAAGCAGCTTCAGAAATTGATGAATGTCTGTAAAACTTAATACTTTTTAACCGTCTAAATTAGATTTCATTTTATTGGATCTATATTTTATTTTGAAAGCAAAAACTACAGATTCTTCATATGAAGAAGGTATTACAGATATACAGATTGTGATACAAAATAAGTCTTGTCACTCAGAATATTTATATATTTTAAAGGTAAGTGGAATATGCGTGCCGTTAATATTTCTCAGTGTAAGGTCTAATTTATATGAGAAGTATGGGATAAGCTTAAACGTTCCCTTTATTTAAAGACATATTTCCGTCGGTCATCTGGAACTTCCGTGGTCATCGGTGGACTTCAAGGTATGTATATGAATCGTGAATTGTAAATGAGCATTTTTCTGAATATGGGGGAAAGTTTTACGAGCTATAACATTTGTATATTATGTGTATGCCTGCCTCAAGATCTTTCCTCACTATTACAAATTACTTTACCCATTCATCAGCTTAGAGAAAGAATAGATAAATTAAAATTGGTGGAATCATATACCAAATTTAATTTACACATTTAAGTTTAAAAAATTATTAGTAGCAATCACATTCATAAGTTTCATAGTACTATATCCTAATATCGCTTTAAGACTAAAATTCCATTTTTAATTGGGAAAGATACAGGTTTTAGTATTACAGATCAGAGAAAATTTTTTCCAAAAATTCCATTTGCTGTTAAAATTAAAAAAAAAAAAAAAAAAAAAAAAAAAAAAAAAAAAAAAAAAAAAAGAATCCAAGTTGAGGGAGAGATTTTTCATTCTGGCCATACCAATAATTTTCTACGTACTAGGACGGTGTAATCCTTACAGAATGTATCCTCTCGTGTACATAGCAGGCACTGTATGTGTGTGAAGTATTTAGAATAACAGGGTATTACCGTTGTCTCCAATCTCGAACGCCCCTTCTGTCAGTGTATATTTCTGCTTGTTCCGAAGCACTGGTTGATTTAGCATTTCTTTCATTGGTTGAGGCATGGAGGATTTATGCATTTTTCAACAAATGTTTCACGTACATATCTTGATAGAAGATCTAAATAGACTTCAAACTCAAAATTTCTATTAAAATTTGTTCTGTTATCTAATCCTAGACTATATTTTAACTTACAGTTAATTTATAGTGGAGAAAATAAGAACGGAAAAGTAGGATTTTTCTTTTTAGTTGAAGAAATAATTTGCAATGCATTACAAAGGAATAAAGCTAAACTATATATGATTCTCATTGGTGGCGCTGCTTTGCTTTCGGTACAATCATTTCTTAAGGATATTAAGAAATATGTTTTAGCGAATTGTTATCAATATTTATAATATAATAAATTAAGATATTATCTAATAGTATTGAAATAAAAATGTGCAACATTTTGATTAAGTGAAATAAATTCTAATGTCAACCACACTGAAAAAAGCGTACTTAGCATTTTACGTGATTTCAGTTATCTTTTTTGAACTAGTTTTTTGAAGTGCCTTACAAGGGCACTACGCAGTGAACCACTTGAAACCATATTAGATAATCTTAAATTTTCCTAAAATGTAATGTGCACAAAAAGTTATGAATTTTTCGGTGATAACACAAAGATCAATTAAAGAACTTCATGCGGCATTTTTAAAAGACTCCCATGATAATCAGTTAATCTCAAACTATGTCTACAAGATAAAAATGTAAGGCAAAGTTTTACTGACATCAGTTTTAAAATATCCGTTAGACTTAAAGCCAATATAATGCAATATAGAGTTGGTTTTCGATATTTGTCAAAATTCACGAGTTAAACTTTTTAATGAAATTTTCGTTAGACCAAAAACAATGAATTTTCGATTATCGTATTTAGCTGTCATACATCTCCTGCATTTTCGCCGTTAGGATATATGCTGTTGCCCTGATGGATAGTACACATCTAAGTTTTCATATACAGTTAACAATGGTTACATTTTCCACAAAAAATAATCATTGCTTTCTTTTATATTTATACTCAAGTTTTGGTGCATGCATTTAGCAAATTTAAATGGATACTAACTTGGAAATGAATATCCCTTACATAATCTTCTCGTGTTTGAATTGTTGACATGCTGAATTCGCATTTTGCTTTCGACGAAAGGAAGCATTAAATCTATTGAAACCTGTAGAGTGGAGAAATGCATGAAACTGTTTGCACTGAAGTTTACTTCAGATTTACATAGGCAGAAATATCAGGGTACATATTCATTCTGTAAACTTTTAAAGCATATATTACGTGGAATTTGTTATTACTAAGATTGCTATTGCTCATTCATTTGCGATAAAATCTTCTAAAATATTCAAATACTCATTCTTACACCTAAGGGGCCAACATACTTCTAAAAAAAAAAGATGGATGCTACTGTTAGTACTATGGTTACTATGCCATTGCAGTGCTGTTGTATAGTAACCTGTTATACTTTTACCGCAAGAAGACTTTAGATTATTTAATGCATATGTATTTCATTTTAATAATAAAATCGTTGTATATTTAAGAACAGGGTGTTTATTACATTAACATACATTAATAAGGGTATTGCTCGCTTTATGAACCTTTTTAGTGGCTGGATCACTGATTATGGGAATGTTGATCGCTCTGAGGACTTTTGTACATAGTGCTACTTTACATGCTATCATAAAAATATTTCTTGTACAGTTACTTGTTTTAGTGTGTTGTACAGTAAAAAAAAATCACGAAAAATTTGCAAGGTCATGCACGATTCAACTGAACGCATCGCTTTGTTGAAAGTACTGGCAAGACCTAAGAAAAAAGAAAGTGCAGAATTTCAGTTATTTAAAACTTTTAAAAGGTGATAGGTGCGTTGAAAAGGAATATAAATTAAAATTTAATTTTAGAAAAATAAAACTGGCATACACTTTAAAATGAAATATTTATTTACAGCACAACATTAAATTTGAAGCACGTAAACTGCTTAAATTAATCTGTTAATGTGAAATAGTAGTAATAATGTGATAATTTTTTAAATCAAGTTTCTAATTTAAACCAATTTAATAGACAAGGCTGAAGTTTTTTGGAACTTTTGATAACAACTAACCTTAACTACACTAAATTTACATTATTACTACATAGTATTCAGGTATTATGGAGCCTACGATATAGTTTGTGGGTTTAAAATTAATAACAATACAGAGAAAACTCTTTTAAATACTTTAAAATTCATAAATTAAATACAAGTTTAGAAGCTAGTCTTTCAAAATGATTTATAAATTGCATCTAACAATTTATAAATCCTTAAAAATGTTAACTCTCAAACTATCTTTATCTCCCAGAAACATTAATCAGCAAATTGTTTCTTTCAGCCCTAACTGTGATAAACTTTTGTAATCTTTCATCCTTTGTAAAGTAATCTGCATTTCAGTGTACGTTATCACTTAGATAAAAGTAAGTATGTATATTTTATTTTTCATGACAAGATCATCAAGAAACGGAGAGGCCATTGCTTCCTAAGTAGGTATTAAATACAAACCAGAAAGGAAAGTGTTTTTTTTTTTTTTTTTTTTTTTTTTTTTTTTTTTTTTTTTTAAAAAGCAGTGCCATCAATAAATCCGGTTAATAGCTTCGTGAAAAGCTTTCATTAACATAAATCTTCCATTTCATCGCAATGAATCTTCCATGCCAAGGGAACAGTTTGCTAAGAAGTCATGAAAACGTATTAAATTCATAATCAAGCCTTATTATTTAATGCATATTTAATGCACTCTTGCCTTCAATTTTAGTTTTAAAATAATTATCATTTTAACCTTCTTATTCTTATTACCTTTTTCCTTATTTCTTCTTATCTCTCTTCTTATTTCTGAAAATAACTGAAATAAAAAGGCCCAGTATTTATGGAAAAAAAAAGCCATTTGTCATCAATAAATATTCTTTTGGGCGCGCCTAGAAGAGCAGGTAATATATCTTTTAGAAGAAAACAATCAAAGCATATTCTTTAAAAAATAGATGACAGAACATATTACTCCTGATATTTAACTGAATGATGACTTAAATAATAAAATATTAAGTAATTCGCATTAGAATGTGTATTTGCTTTCGTGAGAAATTAGCTATTTTAAATAAAGAATGGAACATACATGTTGAAATAGAGTTCTCCGTACATTGATCTGTATAAATAACACAGCACTTGATATCAATTTGATCAAGAAAAAATAAATATATGAAGATTTTGAAACAGGGTAGCACGGCGTTTGAAATCCTTTTCATTAGTGGGAAAGTAACATTTAAACATTTCTAAAGCACATTCCTTGTGCATTTCATTTTATTTAGACTAAATAAGAAGTCTAAAATTTTAAAAATACATGAATGACAGTGAAGTGCAAGATAATTTACTTATTTTGCGCATCAGTTAACGTCTAGAATAACAGACTAATATTAAAAGATAAGAAACTAACATTACAATAGCGATTAAAGTATAATGATTTCTGAAAATTTGGATATATATTTGATATTTTTGTTATTAGTGTTGTAATGAATGCTAATAAATGTTTTGTATTGTCAAATTTTTTTCATATTATGGCATTTAAGTGATTTCAATGCACCTATCTGTTGTAGTTCATTTTATATATTTATAAAATATGGGTAAAAATATGAGTCATATGAAAAATAAATTTTTGAAAAGTAATGTTTATTATGTAACCTATGATCATTTTATTTTAATATTGACAGCGAGTTTTCATAATGTAAAAAATTTCTACATAAAGCTTACCTACATGTTTATCTGCTTCTCGTTTCTACGTGTAACGTGAGCTTAGAACACATTCAGTTGTTCAAGATCTTAAATGTTTCATATACTGGGTATTCTTTTGAGGTTACTCGGGACAAATTCTGAAAGCATTCAAATTGGAAGACTGAAATGAATAAATAGGAAGTTTTTTAGTGTATTTTTTGTAGAAATTAAATCTTGTATAATTTAATTTTCTTTGAAAAATATTTTATTTGCTTTCGAAGACTGTATAAAAATATTCCTTACTAAAAATTTTTCTGCATTTGTACTTCTATTAATAATTGTACATTGCTTTGATATGTTTAATTTTTCTTTTCAATTTTTGCTATAAAATTCTGTTATTTCAGCTTATTACTTTGACTTAAGGTATATGCTACTATGAAAGCTTTCTGTTCTACATCCAGGTCACATTTAATATCGATTAAATTTATTTTGAGAGTAATTTCTATTAGTATTTTAAGAAGTTATTCTGTTTAATTTTTTACAGTTAAATTCAGTAAAGTTACTGTAATATTGAAGACTTACATCATTCTTTTATTAAAAAAATTCCAATAATTATTTGCTGCTACTGACATCAATTAAATTCTCATAAGTTAACGCCTCGAATGATTCTACGTTTGTGTAATTTTAAATTAATTTATTTCATACAGTTGGCGCGTATAAGATCGAAACTCAGATCTTCATTTCAATCAAGAATGTTAAATATATTTTTTTAAATTTTAAACTGACGTCTTAAGTAATAAATGAAAATTGATGTTTTATAAGTTTTGAGAACATACTTAAAAGATTTGTGTCAATTATATTGATACATTTTTTAAGTCTTTCAGATTTTGTCTCATTGCTTGAGTATTATGAAAAAACTGTATGCCTAATTACATGTAATGAATGAAATATGAATGTCCAATGTAAAGGAATGTACGACCCAGTGCAAATATCTAATAAACATCCCATATTGAATTGTCTTATTGTTTCTTTTTAAAGCTGCTTTAGATTAATTCAAAAATCTGAAACATTTACTTTTTCACTTTCAAGGACATTTAACACTCTTCACAAAAAACAGGAACAAAATATACTCTTCATGCATAATAATGATACATATCTATGAGTAACATGCAGCGTAAGCAGTTGAGGAATCTTAATGAGTTATAAACAATTTTTCACAAAAACTGACAAAGGTTTATTTCTTCTAGTAACGAATACAGCGAAAGGAGCATTTCACATATTATTTTGAACACTGATTTAAAGTGTGAAAAAGTACTGAAATGATATTAAATTTCTATTTTAATGACCTTTCGTATTTACTTAATTTGATGAACACGTATAATGGTTATCCGTAATACTTATTATAAAATTTATGCAAAAATGCAAAATCCATTTAGATTCAAAACCTAATGTCAAAATAATCAAGATTTTTTTTCTTTTATCTAAACAATGTTTTTAAAACTGTATTGGTAAACGAGATTTACGTAAAATACGTTCACGATTATTTAACGCAGAGATCTGTTCATGCTATAGCAAAATTCGGTATTCCAACATAAATATTGAACTGTCACATACAAAGAAATTTGTTCTTGAAACAAACTGTGGAATTTAGTGCGTTGAGAGAAATCTCCCTCTGGGGTCCGTCCAGAATTGTTTGGAGTAAAGTTGTTAGACGAAAGCTTTCAGGAGCATTTCCTCGAGATAGCGTAATGGTTACAATCGGCTTAGTGTGTTATCATTCATCAAACTAGAGAGCACCAACCATAAATTTAGAGAATTCTAAGTCTCAAAGAGCGCTAAAACTTTACTTAACTTTGTCATAAGTCTTAGACAATGAAGACAAAAAGTAGTGTTATATGTAAAAGATACAGAGAGGGGAGAAAAGTAAAAATTGAAACGAACAAGATAAATTAATCCCACACCAGAATATTCTAAAATAGCAACTACTCAAATTTAATAATATGTAGGTAAAACTCGAATAAATAAATTAAAGTCACATTTTTATAACTATATATTGAGGTTGCCTCAACTGAATTTAACTTCACCTACACGCCATCATTTGATGAATATGAAATGTGTACTGGCTCGAGCTCATTTATAACGCAGTCACTTGAATTGGACCTCTAATTTGCAGATTACGCGGAGTTTTAAAATGTGTGTTAGTAAGTTTTAGATTGGCATACGGAAGCTTTATGCAGTTGTGAACAAAAATATCTATAGAAAAAATTAACAGAAATGGGGGAAAACTCACTGTTACCAAATTTTATTTACATACAGGATAAATAAAAGTTCTGTAAGAAGAATTAGTAATTTATAAAACCTTCCAGTCTCATCTTTGACCAGGACGATATCTATGAGAGTAGTCCTTTATTGCTAAAGGAAATCAAGTGCTTAACTCTAAAATACGGTTGCTTAAAGTAATATCTCTATTGCTAAATCATATCTTTTTAGTACCTAATCATATATTAAGTTATCCCGTATTTCTTGAGCTCCTTAATATTTAGAAGCTGGACTTTATGTTTTCAGTTCCTTATGAAAACTTTGCTCCCGTTTCCAAGAGCTACAGCAGAGCAACTATAAATAAACAATCACAACAACAAAAACAACAATAAAAAAACGAGGGAAAAAATTGTTGTACAGCATTTGTCAATTGGAGGATGTATGCATTAGCAAATTCTTACAATTATTTCCATTGAAATGCTTTGTGAAAAACAGTTTTCAATGACACTAAAGTTTTCTAGAGTCAGGCTTATTTGAAATTAATTCTGAACTTTAAAAATCTAAAAGTTTTATTTTTGAAATATAATAATTACGGTAGCAAGAAACAAAATATCAAATTTAGCTACTTAAATTTTAAAGACATGCAGTCCAGTTTTGATAAAATCCTGGAAGAATAGAAATAACAAACATTTCTAAAGAAGTAATAATAATTCTCCATAACATGGGTTTCAAACAAGAAATGAAGATTATGTGTACTTAGAGACAAAACATTATACCATCCACTTAATCCACTGAAACTGCATCGCATAGAATGATATAAAACCGAAATGATTTTAGTTGTCTAGATAAGGAAACTATAGCTACACAGAGAAGCATCTATAACGATATAAATTACAAAATTATGATGACAATAATAATAGTATGCATAACTAGAACAAATGTAACAATATAGGAGACAAGACTTCACTAGAGAGAATTAAAACAAATTATAAACGAAATATCTGGAGTTTACACATACAACCATATCATACCGTTTTAATTGCAATTTGTTAAAAATCAAGGAGCAGGTACATCGATTACATGATATAAACGAAAATGAAATAAAAAAAAAAGATTTAGTATCTTTTGAAGCTTCGGAAGATGGTATGTAATAGTGCATTTTTATATTAGAAAGCCTTGTTCTGCATGAAGCATGAAGGCAGTGGCAATACAAAATCACGATACAACTTGTCGTGTTACGATGAGTATATTTTCGCGCTTTGATATTAAGTATCATATCTGTATGACATTTTAGGATATACTCTAATTTATGCGATAATCATTTAGTATGTAAATCGAAAGTTTATTTTATTTTATTATGGCAAAGCACACGAAGGCTATCTACCGCAGAGGAGGGAGAGCTTCGGGGACGACTTTCTAAGGGAGCTGGCTGGTATCGACGTGACTCAACAACTTTACTGTTCGGTCACTGGTGAACCTTGCACGTAAATAAAACGAAAATGTGTCATTAAAGTCATGTATATGATTCCAGCAGCTCATTCTTCGTTCGCTCTATTCTAAATTTTTACGACAAGATAGGAGTTATGCAAAAGCAAAGCAATCGATAATGGACATACAAGATCCACTTCGCTTAGTCTTTTTCAATTCATACTGTGAGACACTTGCCGACAAAGAATAACAATGCCATTTGCTAAAATGGCATTGTTATTCTTATTATTATTGCCATTTGCTAAAACAACATTTGCAATTTGCTAAAATGTTACATGCATAGTTCGGTCTCATTCAGCTAGTTTTCTGATACGGTGTTGCATTCTTTGTCCATCTTCTGTACAGGTTATTAGAAGTATACTTATGATAAATCTTTCGCCACCAGTGCCACATTGTTCATAAACTGTCATCATCAAACTGCCATCCTGTTTCACATCAATCCTTGTACAGACTTTCTATTTTTTTGCCATTTCGATAAAATGGTTTCTTTCGAAGTTCGCTAGCTTCAATTTTCTTAGTTTCAGCTTTGTATGACTGTTTTATATGCTCACGCGCAAAATTATAAGTTAAAATATGCGCCTCCTACCGTATGGTGTGCTACGTTAACCATGAGGTCGATTATTATCGGCCAGGAGGGTTTCAGCACATTACATTACCTCTCATAGCATTTCGACATAAGCTTTTTTATTATCAGGATTATTAACATTACAGGTAACAGCAGGAGTTTTAGCTGAATTTTTACATTTAGCATCATCAAAACCTTTAAGGGACGCTTTATGGTATGCAAAGTGTTGGATTATTTAATTATTGCCAATTTTGCTAAGATTATCTCTGCAGAGTGTTCTAAAAGATAGTAAAAGTGCTATTCTTATGTTGATTCTAGATGTGTACTTCTAATTATAAAGTCTCACAAAATAAGATGCAGATATCTATGAAAACTCTTTCAACACTAGCTGTAGGGAAAATCTTTTTATTATATATTTACTAAAGTGTAAAATTTTATTCAGTCGATAATTCAATGTTCTTTTATTAATTAACAAAAGAAGGGTTCGATATGTTAGAGTGTTAAATTAGTGGATAAATTCGAGAAAGAATTCAGTTAGGTTATTTCTCATGTCTATTACGGATTTAAATTCAAAATTTCCGGAAACAAGTTTTGAGAACAGCTCCAAAAGAAAAACCTTTTGTTTTGAAGATTAGTAGTCGATTTATTCACAACTGTCCTCTTTTTTTCTCGGAAAAAATTTTGTTAAGTGTATCTCAGAGAATTTTGCTCATAAAGATTTGGAAAATTTTGTTTTTTATTGTCTAAAACATAATATTTTACTAATTATAATTTGTACTCGATAACGACTGTCAAAATTTAGATTTTTAAAAAAATTTATTTAACTACTTTTTACAAAGCCCTCCTAACTTCCAGGCTTGACACTTTTTTTTTTTTTAATTCTACATCTTATTTTAAGAAGCTTTAGCGAAAGTATATATCTAGGATCGAAAGTGAAGATAATAAAACCCTTTTTCCAATGACCTAAAATATATATCATTCATTATACAGCAGTCAGTCTATTAGCTAAATAAGAAGGAATGTAATAAAATATTAATCAAAAGTATGGAATTAGTACTTCGAAATTTTTTACCACAAGCAATTCCTGTGGTATTTAATAAGAGCAATGTCTTTTTAAAATTTAATTCTGTTTTCCCATTAAGCAGAGATAAGTTTTTTGAAACTATTAAAATCGCTTACTTTATCTAATATTAATTTTGATTGTTTCTTTTTGGCGATCAAACAAAAAAACCAAGACATATTCATCCTGGTGAAATACCTTCATCATCAAACGCTTTAGTTACTCCTTCTGCTTGAAGTTAATTTATGTCAAATTTCAGAAAAAAATGTAAAATGTTATATACAAAGTAACACATAAACTGAAGTGAAAAAAGTCATGGGATGCCTCCTAATATTTTGTCGATCCTCCTTTTGCCCGGCGAAGTGCAGCAACTCGACGTGGCATGGACTCAACAAGTCGTTGGAAGTCCCCTGCAGGAATATTGAGCCATGCTGCCTCTACAGACGTCCATAATTGTGAAAGTGTTGACGGTGCAGGGTTTTGGGCACGAACTGACCTCTCGATGATGTCCCATAAATGTTCGATGGGATTCATGTCGGGCGATCTAGGTGGCCAGATCATTCGCTGAAATTGTCCAGAATGTTCTTATAACCAATCGCGAACAATTGTGGCCTGGTGACATGGCGCATTGTCATCCATAAA